TGGCGGACGGCGACCGGTACATGCTGATTCTACGGGAGGCGAGACTCACGGACGAGGGCGACATCAGGGTCAGAGCCACGAACCGAGTGGGCGTGGCGTCTTCCCAGGCCGCCCTCGCAGTCCAAGGTACGGTAGAACACGTTTGCTAAGTCGAAACTCTACTTTCGCGATATTTGAAGATTCTAAAATTCATATTTCTCTTTTACTGAGGATGACATTTAGATTTGACGCCTGAACATCTTTCAGCACCGCCACACATTACCTTGCCGCCGCAATACGAGCAAGGCCTGATCTTCGACACCGACGAACTTATTCGACTTCGAGTTCCCTACACGGGCCGACCTCAGCCTACAGCCTCGTGGACACACAACGGCAAACTAGTGCGTTATGAGGCGGAACATCCAATTCTTCTTCGTGGATATGTGCATCTAGTTATCTGAGTACACATGAGCATTTGTATGAACGTGAATTCGTGTGTATTATAATATGAACACAGGCACGGTGTATATGTGCATATGCTTATACACAAACACACCGTGTGTGTGTGTCTGTGTGAATATACAATATATAAGATAGATAGACACACACACACACACACACACACACACACACACACACACACACACACACACACACACACACACACACACACACACATATATATTATAATATATAATATATATATATATATATATATATATATATATATATACATGCATACGAGAGAGAGAGAGAGAGAGAGAGAGAGAGAGAGAGAGAGAGAGAGAGAGAGAGAGAGAGAGAGAGAGAGAGAGAGAGAGAGAGAGAGAGAGAGAGAGAAGAGAGAGAGAGAGAGAGAGAGAGAGAGAGAGAGAGAGAGAGAGAGAGAGAGAGAGAGAGAGAGTTGCTCATCTCTGTCGACTTGGCATCACAAGGTAGCTTTCACGCTTCGTTCCCACAGATTGAGGCCGGCGAGCGCCACACGATGGACGTGTCGGAGAAGCACGCCACGCTGAAGATCGCCGGCGCCAACAGAATGGACAAGGGAATGTATGCGCTCAAACTGACGAATCCGCAGGGCGAAGCCTCGGCCTCATTCTTCGTCACCGTCACGGGTAAGATGGCGTCATTTTATGGTTGTCTGACTGCTCATGTTGACACACGTATGTGAATTTCAGTCTGGTAAATCTTTAAACATGCAAATAAAGCAGTCATCGTTTTTTGAAGATGAAATTAGCTTGTTCATAACCCAAAGGCTCCTTATGAAAATTTTCCGTGTCTCATTTACCCCAATGTAATACGAGTCATGTCAGTCCAGGCGTTTCACGTCTTTATCAGTCGCTTTCGTCAGTTGGATTATATTTTTGCATACCCACAGATCGGCCGGATCCACCCAGCGTGCCAGTAATTACAGACGTGACAGGCACATCCCTCACCCTCCGCTGGGACCCGCCCGCTGATGACGGTGGCTGCAGGATATCTAACTATACTCTCGAATACTTCAGGGTGCGTCATTAGTAGTTGCATTAGTGAATATTGTCTTGGCAGATAGATGTATGTCGTGCTGCGTCTGATAAGGATGCTTCTTAAAGAACATTTGGTTGGATTATGAGTGAATTGTATAAACGGATGTCGAGGCTGATTGGTCTCCACAAATAATTAACTCAATGAACTTAACAGATGTCAGTGCTGAATATACATTAAACATAAAAAGATGTCTTTGTCGTACTTACCTCGACCATACAAGATACCCTTGCCTTAAGCTTATAGAACACAAGAGATATCAGTGCCGAATATTCATATAGATTAACTTTCTGATCCAACAGGTGGGCTGGGACGTGTGGCTCAAGGCTGCGTCCTCTCGAATCACGTGGACGCAGCTCAGTGACCTGATCGTCGGCTCGGAGTATCGCTTCAGGGTTAAAGCCGAGAACGCGTACGGTGTGTCAGAACCCGGGCCAGAATCCGACCAGATCCTCATCGAAGACACCAAGAGCCCCACTGGGTACGAGAATGTTGATGTTAGAGACGCACGCGTAGGGCAAACACACACCGGGTGGGGGACCTGGGGGGATGTAGGTGTTGATTTTTCAGGGGATGAATCTGGACTGGTTATCGAAACGGTAAGTCTTAAATATCAACAGGAGCAGTATGAGGAGGAAATGAGATTGCGTAGTATTCATAATTATAGTGTCTGTGAGGGAGAAAACGCGCCAGTCTTGGTAGGTTGGTCTGAAGGATATGCAGATGAATACGAGTCGGCAGCGCACGAGGGTCTACAGGAACCCGCAGCATGGCTTGGTGTTATCTCACCGGTATATACTACTGTCCATAATCTTCCCCCAGAAGAGAGCGACACACAGTACTACCCCTGTAACGAGACGGCGCCAACGACTTTCCCAACAAGTCCCCCTCATGAACCAATGGCCACCTTGAACATGAATCAATGGAACAGTAGCTTTGAAGAACCGTCTGAAGATGAGGATTCGTCCTCTGAAGACACAGTCACAGCAAACCACTTGCAGCAGGGAATGCCAGTTCATGAAGGCCGAGAGATAACTCTATCTCCCATAGGTGCGCAGTGGATGGCAAACGGAAGGATGGCTATTGCTAATCAGTTCAGGGTAATATGTGGTGGTCTAGCTAGCATGAATCATCTTGGTAACATCAATGACGGAAAGCGTGAGAGAACGTACATAGAAGAGTCTGCAAACCAACAGAACTGCACCACTACTCGTGTATCTGTGGAAGATATTGACCAAACAAGCATCCAGAACACAGAATTGAAGGAAGATCCACCAGCAAATCAACTACAGTCTTCTGAGCAACATACGTTCAACCAACCTGCTAATCAAAAGGTAAGCCAAAAGGATGTCCCTGCTAACCACTGCAGTATGTATAGAGTGGAAGAGCTGGAGACTTTGTCGCCCCAACGAGAGCTTGAAATCGTCGACGAATCAGATAAATCGGTGTTCCAAGATTCGTTTGAAACTGTGTCTGATGCTGCTTCTGTCCCCAAAGAATTTAATGCGCTGTGCACGCAGGACATCGAACAGTCTCGGTTTTTACACCAGGAAGAAGGTTTGCTTTCATTCTCTTGGTCGTCTTCAAGCTCCAGCCATCAGCAGGACACGTCGAATGATGCATCGGTATGGACCCTGGACTCTGATAGGCAAAGCAAGTCGGTCCGACCCAAAGAGAAGACTGGGAAACAAGTTTCAGAACATGGCAGTATAAAACGAGAAGGTTCTGTAACTTCCAGTAAAGCTATTAAGAAGTCCAAACGTCACACCTTCGAGCATTGCGATGATCCCACCGTAAATGATGAATCTAATTATGACACTTACTCATCATGGGAGCCAAAGATAAACCAAGTTATCACTAACAGAATAGATTTACTAGAGAACTTAGTGTACCGGTGTTTGGAGAATGAGGATGTGACGATGAACGAGCTGGGACTGACTGATGATGAAGGGTCAGGACCTGCGTCACCCCTGGCTCCTCTGTCGCGGGCCAGCTCTTGTGGCAGAGTCGATGTCAGGAAGGGAGAGCTCAGAGACCTTATCAGTGATCTCGGGGAGCTTGTGAGCGGAATGAATGAACGCAGCAGAACAATGAGCGCTGAAAACGTGGCCAAGTTTTTTGAAAAGACGGCGTGTGTAATGCGAGACCCGGCTTCGCCAGTGCCGTTACTTGCAGGAGAAAAAGAGATAGTCGAAGAAATTATACGATCAAACCGTACGTCAAGAACGCATTCTATCGACGAACGGACCTTCGATGAGCTAGACATTGGTAGCGAGGAAAGTTTCGTCAACCTGATACAACCCTTTGATCAAGTCCGCATTCAGTCATCCATCCTGGAGC